TGACCTATCATCCTAAGTCAGGGTATGAAATTTGTTTTTATTTTCACTTGCCAATAAAAAAACGACTTCAGCGGAATTGCCATCTACGTAATGTGAAAGTGGTAGTCCACAAATACATGTCGCCAGTCCTTCCTGAAATTTACAAGTCTCTTATTAGCAGACTTTTGTTTATTTTGAAACATATAAATACTTTGAAACAAAACAATTTGAGAACAATTTGATAATGTCACTAAATATGATACCATGACTTCAGATGAACACCTTATTGGATGTTACCGTCAGCATTGACATTAATATGCTGAAGTTCATCAAATCAGATACAGCTAAACAAAGATTTGAGGACATCCCATTAGGGTTCACGTCAGAACGACCTTTCGCGAACTTTGACCGATCAATGAAATGACTGACAAGAAGTCGACATTAGCCAATCAGAAAGCAGCTTTCTTGAGCTTTACAAACTGGCGACTACTCTTCGAAACATATTTTGACGTATTCTCGATTAAAATTTTTAAAACTGATAAAAAGAGCATTCTGGAATGGCTCATAGATGGCCTATATTGTGTGGATATAATCATAAAACCTGTAACTGTCGTTTGGAATATCCTCTGTTAAATATTTCAAGGTTGTACGATTAGAAAACACATTCCGTGTGTGATTTTCATGATCTGGTAAGCGACGCTCTGATTGGTTGGATGAAAGGTCGTTCTGACGTGACCCGTAATGGGATGTCCTCAGATCTTTGTTTAGCTGTAGCGAAAAACTAAGATCTCATTTTAATGAGATTGAAGTTCATGTAAGGTTAGAAGGTACTGCATACAAACTTTGACAATCTCTAAAAGTATTTACGAATCAATGACAAAGAGGAGACCTTTACCTCCCAAGGTGAACACTGATTCAGAGTTACACTTTCATACAGGTTCATGTTGTAGGACATGGATGGATTGTCATCCCAAATGGATCAAAGATGGTTTCCAAATTAATTAAATATATTGCGGAATGTCCTCTTAAAATTTACAAAATCATGAAAATGACCTAATGCATTTGCTCCCAGCAAAAACACAGGTCCTCCATGTCCTATCCACAAGTCAGCAGCAGTCAAGCTATGTGTCACAACAGCAGTCAAGCTACATGTCACAGCAGCAGTAAAGCTACGTGTCACAGCAGCGGTCAAGCTACGTGTCAAAGCAGCGGTCAGGCTACGTGTCACAGCAGCGGTCAAGCTACGTATCACAGCAGCAGTCAAGCTACGTGTCACAGCAGCAGTCAAGCTACGTGTCACAGCAGCAGTCAAGCTATGAGTCACAGCAGTGGTCAAGCTATTTGTCACAGCAGCAGTCAAGCTACGTGTCACAGCAGCTGGAAATTTTCAAGTCTGGACTACACTAACTGGTGATTCATATCATGAGAAACGTCCCATGCGGTTGTTATATACAACCAACTCGAGTCAATCTTACACAGTGTTTCTCCTCTAGCAAAGACATAACATGTGTACCATGCTTCAGAAGAGAGAAAATTCACAATCTTGACAGAAATCAAAAACCTATGTTGTCCAATCCTCATCGTCTATATGATTCAGATAAAAATATGATGCTATTTCCCCCAATGCCAGACTTGTTTTCCAAAAGAAACATGTGATGACTCATTACTCTACTCAACAAGGTATCAATCATTCTACAGCACAGGCAGTTTATGTCACCTTCATCTGGGCTTTCCTGCAAAAGTTGCTACCTTAATATAATTATCTTACCAAAAGGAAATCTTACTACATTCATAATGAAAATTAAGGGAAGAGGGTGAGTATGATTTCCTGCATTAAACATACATAAACAGATAAGTTTATCTAATTCTTAGCTTAGAGTTATACCCTAAAGCTTTTCCCCTGCTGGAAAATAAGAAGACTATTCTAGAATGACACATGACACTACACTGTCCAAGCATACAGGTTTGATAGCCACAGATCAACGAGCAGGCCAAGAGGTGTTTGCATTTTGTTTTCATGTCATAAATATTAATAGCACTATCAGGCAGCTCAGGTTAATACCATCAAGTTGCCATGGTGATAGAAAATCAATAAAATTATAAGTAACTTAAAGGCTGGCACATGACCTTCAAAGAAATGGCCTGTGGATGCTGCAGAAATTAGAGGTGTCACACACACACACTGTAAGTAAACCAGATATTTGCCCTGATGGAAACTTGTTCTGGTTTTGCAAGATTCATCTCATTAAAAATTTAGCAGCCAAAGAGAATCATGTTTTTATGTCATTATATTCATTTCAGCATAATTACTGTTTGAAAAAAAAGAAAGACAAAATTATACAATCTGTATGTAAAATGGAGTTTGCTAGTCTTAAGAATCACAGTACAATGTATATTGCAATAATTTAACTATTAAAGCAAACTGCCCTTGCTATTCATTGAATGCCCATCTCCCCCCAATCACTGTGTGTGTGTGTGTGTGTGTGTGTGTGTGTGTGTGTGTGTGTGTGTGTGTGTGTGATTATTCCACATTTCAGATTCAACTGGACAGCGTGAGCACTATACAAGGGTTTATTTTTACTTAGCACCTCAAAGACTATGGTTCTGACTGAGGGACTGAGTTAGTGATAGAATACCAATCATTAACACTACAGTAGTAAAATGGAATGAGAAAGTGAGTGACACCATTTGCGAAATGGGATCAACAAATTTCCCTTAGGTCTTCCATCACTGCTGCCTCATACCAGTTATCATATCAAGTGAGCAAACCATTGGTTGATAGCATGGGGCATATTCTGGCATCATAGAACCTTTGAAAATAATATCTTTGATAACAATAACAGCTCGAAAGGATATCACACCCCATTCGACAATAATGACGTGTCAACACAACAGTGGCTTGCAATATCAGCAACCTGGTGTGGAGTACGACCCATACTTGTCGGTCAGTCAGCTGTCGCTCAGTGCAAGTCTCAAGCCATATGGTCACGTATTTCAGGATAGGCACACTCACTTTGTAAGTCATGTACCGTATTCGACATAATAAGCGCCCCGCTCTAATAAGCGCCCACGGTGATATTTGCTAATATATTGGCCAGTGAACAATCCCAATTAGCACCCCTTCCGATTGATCAGTATACACAAGACTTATTTATTCGCGTATAATACGCACTCGTGTGATATGTGCACACTTAATTCTGGGCAATTAAATTCTTGAAAAATATTTATGTCGTACATAAACATTCAGGCAGTCAGCACAAACCACGATAATTATCTTTCAACTCTGTTTTTTTCACTAAATTAATATTCCAATAAGAGCCCCCTATTTCTAATTTTGAGAGCGCCCTAGGCGCTTATTACGTCGAATACGGTAAGTCTTTTCTGACAAAAACTAAGGTCAGTTGCTCGCTAATTAAGCAATTTAATGTTTAGTCCAGTTGACCCTTGCACTTAATAAAGAGTGATTTCTTTTGACTATACAAGACATGTGACACATTAAAACTACAGCTTCATTGAGTACAATATTTTATGTTAATTACAATACAAACAAAGGTCTATCATGATAAGTGAAGCCATCCCAAATTCTAACAGTGAGTGAGTGAGTTAAGTTTTAAGTCACATCGGCAATATTGCAGCCATATTGTGACTATCAATAGTTAAACAGAATACATATATGGAAACTTGTATAAAAACCTGTCAACGAAGGACAGTAAAATTACTAGATTCATCACAGAAAAAGATATAAAACTAGTACGGAATTATAAAAGAGAATAGCACTATACATAACGATACAAGATAAAAACAGGCTATAGATCGCCAGCAGCTGACCAAATTCTAATAACACACCACTGTTTTTCTAGGTTTTGACAAAGAAAGGGAAATCATGACCCTCTAGGTCAATGTCAAATTAGAAATGCAGTCTGTTGTAGAATTGGCAATGAATTTCCAAATGACCTAATCGTGCTAATACTTTAAAACAGGCTAATAATTCAACATGTTCAACACAATGAAGAAAACCATTGATCCAAATGTAGTCTGCATCAACAGATGTTGAATGATCACATTGTGATTAACTCAAAGTTTCTGGAAATGTATTAACATTGATAAAATAATCCTCAAAGTCTGTCAAAACTGTTTGAGTCTACTAGCCCCAACATGTATTTTGTCATTATTCTCAGATATAAGCCTTAGTATATGGTCAAGTACAAGCTGATCTTACTAGACCATAAGAAATATACCAGCCAGGGACTTCGGACTAGCTGATAAAGCCACAGACTATTATCCATGTGCAATATCTATGCCAATATTCAACTGAGATGTACCTACCATTGGTGAGTGAGTTTGGTTTAACGCTTTGATCAGTATCACAGCATGACAACTAAATGTGGAAGGACAGAACTCGTAAAGGCGGGTGCAAAATCAGTTTTGGGCTATTTGAGCATGATCAGAAGCTTGCTGTACAGGGGAGTCAATAGATCTTGCATCTTTGAGCAGTACAACAAATCTAAGCCGCACTCAGCAATATTCCAGCTTTATGACGGCAGTCTGTAAATAGAGTCTGGAGCAGACAATCCAGTGATTGACATCATGAGCATCAATTCATGCAATTGGGATACGATGACATGCATCAACCAAGTCAGCAAGTCTGACCACCCAGTCACGTTAGTCACCTTTTATGTCATCTTTTATGCAACTTTGGACAAGTCTAACTTGTTTCCATGGAATCAGAGAAAATCAAATTTTGAAAAATCCCTAAATAGCAAAAGGCACCACTTCAGCCCTTAGTTAATACATGTACCAGGTTTGGATGAAAGTCTTTCACAGTTTTCAAGTTGTGCTCCGGAAAAATACCACCTAGCCCTTCCTTTTAAAGAGGGTAAAACTGCTGCAAATACACGAATCAAGAGGAAAGTATTCTGTGCCAGCCTTAGTAGCAACATATCCCCCAATCAGAACTCAGTGCAATCCAAATTGTACCTGAAATGTGAACTTATGACAATTAACCCTAGAAACAAACCTACCTTCATCTCTGTCTTGGTTGTACACCTTTTTGGAATCAAGGGCATCAGCTGCAAGGAAGTTAATGCAATGTTAATACCACCTCAGTCATGCAAGTAGGAATGGCAAACTTATGGCAACATAATACTTTGTGACCTAACTGACTTCTTTTATACTTGCAACAATATCATGACCACGAAAATAAATCTCAACAAGCATAGGTTGAAACAGATAAGGACAAAACATCAAAAGATGTTCTTAAATTGTTTCACAGTACTGTTTGCATATCAAATTGCTACAGGAACAAATAATAGTGTAATGAGACAATGTGGCTGCCATGTTCCAATAGTACTAAAAAAAAGTTCAGGACCACCCCATTCTTTTCATGTTACTCTAGTTAATCCCTCATGGCCTATTCTTTTGAGGTGTCTAGTTTGATCAGAATTCTGTGCCTTCTTCATGTTTTTCACCCATTCTGTGTGTAGGCTTCATACGCCTATCAGCGTTTGAAATTAAGCGTGAAAGTCAAGCCTGAAGGGGGCCTTGCCATAACCCGAATGTAAGATTAAGGGGGTGTATAGATTCAAATACTATAGAAGAGCTCTAGGACTCCCCTAACACTGTTTTTATCACTTTTTTTAAAAGTAGGTACAATCAAAGCTGAAAGCAGAGACCAAAATAACCAGTGTACCTCAGACCTATGTTTGTACTTATGGGTTTGGTTCATCACTTATTGTGACTTAAGTGACAATATGCTAAAATGTTTTGTCTTACACAAATGAAAGTAGGTACCAAGCTTTCAGAAGCATAGAAATGCTTTGATACTTTCTAACCATTTCTATGACAATTTTCTTCATGTTCAGTTAAAAAAGTGTTTAATGTGTTCCAAATGCATCTTCTGATAAGGGCAATTAATGCGATGCACCGCAGGCGAAAGGGTTGAAAAACGTCTTGTTTAAGATTAGTGCACATAAATAACGATGTGCAATGTGCATGCATGCATGCGTGCATGTGTGTGGCTGCTTTTACTTGTCCAGACTAATGCCAGTTTCACAGTGCTAACCCACTGAGATACAATGCTGTAGTTTGACATGGAGACTAAGATGCCTACTCAAACACAATATACAGACTCCGAGCCGACTAGTCATCATTAAATCTCCTTAATGCTGAGCACCAGGCAGGATAACAACAAGTACCATATTTTAAGGTCTTTTGGTATAATGGAGCAGGGGATCAAACCATTGACCTGCTCTCCGGGCAAATGCTCTATCCACTAGGCCACGTAGGCGGGCAAATGCGGCTCAGGAAAATTACACATGTAAGAGTGAATGAGTGAATATTAGATGATGGCACAAGCATCGACCACAAACAATCAGCCAGTCACACGTTGTATTTATAACTTTACAACCTTAATCTAAGTCTGTGTGCTGGAGACCTACTTTGCCTCAGAATCACCAAAGTATAGATATCAGACCATTTAGTTCATACCAATATTCCAGCAATATCATGGTGGGGGACACCAGAAATGGGCTTCTCACATTGTACCCAAGTCAGGATTCGAACCCGGATCTTCGGCGTGACGAGCGAACGCTTTAACCACTAGACTACCCAACCGTCCCTTATCCCATACTAAGCAAAGGCAATGTGATGTTGAGGTCTTACATGGAGCTTCTAGGTCCGTAGAGGTAAAACAAACATGACCTCATACTGCAGGTTCAAAAGCATACTTCTGCAGATGTATCTGAATATTTGACCTTAATAAATGTTTTAAATAGTAAGTGTCATCTTCCAGGGGCAAGAGTGTCCAATAGCCTTTTTTTTATATCAAAGTCTTGTCTCCACCCTTGCCACATCAAGCCTATTTTTCTTGAGCTTAATTTGATTTGACTATCACACATATCGATAGTCCAATCAGAGAACGTTTAACAAAATCAACATCCACAACTGGTAGACCTTCATATGAAAGTGACTTACCACTGCCTGTCCTTGTTGACACGAATGTTTTGTTTTTATTTTTTAAGGGGTGGTCTGGTAGCCTAGTGGTTTAAGCGTTCGCTTGTCACGCCAAAGACCCGGGTTCGATTCCTGACATGGGTACAATGTGTGAGGCCCATTTCTGGTGTCCCCCGCCGTGATATTGCTGAAATATTGCTAAAAGCAGCGTAAAACCAAACTCACTCACTCACTTTTATCTTTTTTTCCCTCAACGATTGTCTAGTTTTTTTGTGTCAGAGGTGAAATCGCTTATGTTTATGTTTTCAATATCTGATCGACTAGATCGTCGCCTATGGTAGTCGCCATCTTTGTGAATGTATACGAGATAAGAACAGAAATCTTATTGGATATCGCGTTTTCATTACAAGGAGCACAAAGTGTGATCAATGTCCGGGTTTAAGTCAAGAAATGTCGCCTTGATGTTGCAAGGGTAGAAACTAGGCTTTGATATAGGCTAGTGGACACACTTGCCTCGGGAAGATGAGTAAGTGTAAGATAGAGTTGCAGAGCTCCATTTTTCCTTGGGTAGCCAATATTTTTTCACTCATCTTATTCATCACTCTATTGGTTTTTGAGATTTAAAAAAGAAAAAAGAAAGAAAGAAAATGTTTTAGATGTATATAAGGGTTCTAACCATAGGCTTGACTCGGAAAGTAAATTAGCCCTTAATTGTGTTTCGGAAATTAGCTTCATTGTACGCATGCCCAAAATGCTTCATTGAGTATTTACGCATGCTGTTTTTATACATTTGAGTTTTCCATTTAATGCATGCGTTTCTGTACACAAGTAAATTGAACTTAATTGGGTTTTGAATATTTTTGGAGAGTATTTTACAAGCAATGACATCTATCTAGGTACCCCCAAATGTTTAACAGGGGTGGTTGGGTAGCCTAGTGGTTAAAGCGTTTGCTTGTCACGCCAAAGACCCGGGTTCAATTCCTGACATGGGTACAATGTGTGAAGCCCATTTCTGGTGCCCCCCCGCCGTTATATTGCTGGAATATTGCTAAAAGCGGCGTAAAACCATACTCACTCATGTTAAACTTTTACATTAGGTTGGATACAAGGACACCTTCACATGCTTAGTTTTGACAACTGTAAAGTCACAACTCTGAAGTCCAACAAATCTTTGGAAGTATTTATGTTACTTTACTAACAATAACAGAACTAGGTAACTACAAGGTCATTAAATATTAATACACACCATAAGAATTCTTAAAACACTGGTTTAATATGTTTGTTGTTTAACGCCACACTCAGCAATATTCCAGGTATATGACAGCAGTCTGTAAATAATCGAGTCTGGACCAGACAATCCAGTGATTGACATCATGAGCATCGATCCACGCAATTGGGACCGATGACATGCATCAACCAGGCTTAATATGTACAGAATGCACTACAGCTATAGTATGATCTTCCCTGTAGACTGATAGTTCAGTCCATGGTAACTAATCTACTAAACAGCTTACGATACTCCGTACTTGACAGAACAATCAGTGGCTGCTGTCAATCTGAGGCTTGCTAGGCTGCTGCATGTCAGAAATACTTATTGGTCAATTACTTTTGAAGACATGATGTATTTTAATGACATTCAGTGTCCCCACTATACTGGAGAGGAGATATCAGCATTATTCCAGCTATATGACAGCGGTCTGTAAGTAATCAAGTCAGGACCAGAAAATCCAGTGATTGACATCATGAGCATCGATCTCTGCAATTGGGATACAGTGACATGGCCTGACCACCCAATCCCATTGGTTGCTGAGGACCTATCCTCAACCCGGATCTCTCTACTACACTGGAGAGGTGATATCATCCGTCTCCCCACTACACTGGAGAGGTGATATCAGTGTCCCTACTACACTGGAGAGTTGATATCATCCGTCTCCCCACTACACTGGAGAGGTGATATCAGTGTCCCTAGTACACTGGGGAGGTGACAACATTGGTGTCCTTACTACACTGGAGAGGTGATATCAGCATCAGTCTCTTTACGACACTGGAGAGGTGATATCAGCATCAGTGTCCCTAATACACTTGAGAGGTGATATCAGCATCAGTCTCTTTACGACACTGGAGAGGTGATATCGGCATCAGTGTCCCTACTTCACTGGGGAGGGGATATCAGCATCAGTCTCTTTACGACACTGGGGAGGTGATATCGGCATCAGTGTCCCTACTACACTGGGGAGGTGATATCAGCATCAGTCTCTTTACGACACTGGAGAGGGGATATCAGCATCAGTGTCCCTACTACACTGGAGAGGGGATATCAGCATCAGTGTCCCTACTACACTGGGGAGGGGATATCAGCATCAGTGTCCCTACTACACTGGAGAGGTGATATCAGCATCAGTGTCCCTACTACACTGGAGAGGGGATATCAGCATCAGTGTCCCTACTACACTGGGGAGGGGATATCAGCATCAGTGTCCCTACTACACTGGAGAGGTGATATCAGCATCAGTGTCCCTACTACACTGGAGAGGGGATATCAGCATCAGTGTCCCTACTACACTGGGGAGGTGATATCAGCATCAGTGTCCCTACTACACTGGGGAGGTGATATCAGCATCAGTGTCCCTACTACACTGGAGAGGGGATATCAGCATCAGTGTCCCTACTACACTGGGGAGGGGATATCAGCATCAGTGTCCCTACTACACTGGAGAGGTGATATCAGCATCAGTGTCCCTACTACACTGGAGAGGGGATATCAGCATCAGTGTCCCTACTACACTGGGGAGGTGATATCAGCATCAGTGTCCCTACTACACTGGAGAGGGGATATCAGCATCAGTGTCCCTACTACACTGGGGAGGTGATACACACCAGAAATACCATGTCAACAAATCTCTACTTGAGGACATGAAATAATCATGCATCCACCAAGTCAGCAAGTCTGACAACACAATCCCTTTAGTTGCCTCTTATGACGAGCATTGTCGCAATTACGGTTGCTGAAGACCTATTTCTAATCCAGAACTTCACAGGCATATTACTTACAAACAGTTCAGCCAAATGTGTACTTTGACATTTATGCAACCAGTTCTTCAGTCTCATACCAGTGTGTTAGCTCTATGTGTGAGAATACATTTACTTAAAGAGCCATAAGACATTAACCATTATGCAGAATCCACCAGTGTGGGTCAGTTGCTGACTAAGACATAAAATTAATTGAATATTAGATTCAAAACCAACAATTCGGGGAATCGGGCAGCTAAGGGAAGCAACTCTGCAATTAATTGCATCTTCTTAGACCCCTGGGACATCCCTGCTTTGAGAGGTTTCAAAAAAGGGGTAGTCATTTTAGCTCCTGCTCATCAGTCACATTTACTGCAGGTTGTTGACATATACCACGTTGTTTGCAACCACAAGCACAGGTACGGTGTCGACAAACCAACCATCAAAATTGTAGCAAATGTGGGATTTCTATTCAAATATCCTGACATGACTACTGGGCCACCAATTCCCCCACTTTACTCTAAGCTGTGAAGTATATTTGCATAAATTTCAGGTGAGGTGAGGTGAGGTGAGGTGAGGTGAGGTGAGGTGAGGTGAGGTGAGGTGAAATGGGGATTAACGTCGTGTTCAAGATTATTACACTTATATAGCGACATGCATGCAGGTGTGTGTGCGGCTGCACTTCGCATAAATTTAAGATAGTGTCCACCTGTTGTAGGTCCTGAACTTGTCCTGAAGGACTATTTTCAGAAGATGCTTGACTTCGCTAGAGTGAGGTTAGGTGAAATGGGGTTTAACGTCGCGTCCAAGAATATTGCACTTATATAGCGACATGCATGCACGTGTATGTGTGTGTGGCTGCTTGTACTAGTCCGGACTGATGCCGATTTATAGTGCTAGCACACTGAGATACCATGCCGCAGTTTATCACGAATACCCCACTGAGCCACAGTATACTGACTCTGAGCCGACCAGTCCTTGTTTTAGCCCCTTAATGCCGAGTGCCAGACAGTGTAACAACAAGTACAATCTTTTAACGTCTTTTGGTATGACGCGGCAGGGGATCGAACCCCGGGCGGACGCTCTACCATTTGACCACGGAGGCGGTTAAGACAACACAACCAAAGATATAATGCCCACACGAGAAGGAGTAGTATAAATTAAGGAAAGATTTCCAATATACAACATAACAACCACAAGGGCTAATGCTTGCTTGTTTGTTGTTCAATGCCTCACTCAGCAATATTGCAGCCGTATGAATGCAGTCTGTAAATTATTGAGTCTGGACCAGACAATCCAATGATTGACATCATGAGTCTCGATCCCCACAATGTGATATGCGATAACATGCATCAACAACTCGACCCCGTTAGTTGCCTCTTACAAGCATGCCATAAATGAATTTTTATTTCCAAAACTGTGTTGCAAAGATTTATCAAACACTGATGCAAAGAAATTGTCGATACAGACCCAATGTTATCACATTTTTCAGATCAATGCGATCAATTCAAATTTATAAAATAGTTTTGATAAGCAGCGTTATAAATTTGCACGGTCCAATAGTCCTTGCCAAACTGCCAAATAGTTAAGGTAGCATAAGGACAAGTAGCAATTTGCCATTTTTAAGGATTTTGCTAAATGTTATTATTGTAAGAACAAGTGGACCAAAAATGTTAGTTTCTACCCCTGATGAGTACAGCGAACTACAGAACTCCTGAAAGAAACATCTCAAGAATAACAAAATTCCAGAAAAACTAATCACTGGTGTGTAATGGCATTATGCTAATCATAATCGGAACCGCTATGGAATATGTTCACCGCTGACGACGTTTCCAAAAGTAACCCTCCAGAATGCAATATTTCCTGATAAACAGGGTCCCGACCAACAAGGTTTCACTATATTTGATATGCTTAATATTTCGACCTGATATATTGCTTGTTGAAAACATGCAAGGGATAAAATAGATTTTTGAGATGTTCCTCACTTGATATTTTTCACTGACTGAAATGGTTAGTCTATTGAATTCAACAAAATCAAATCATACAATTTGATTATTAAAGTTAGCTTTATACTAAAATGTATCAACTTCATATTCTAATATGCTGATATATCTTTTTTGTCAAGAAAGGTATGTCTGAAAACCTTATGCATGTCGATGTAAAATATGAAAGCAATAAGTCTATTTCACTTGACGATAATGCAATTAAACAATCATGTATCAATAATATTAACTTGCTGTGATATGTTTGAACAAATAATAATTATATAATCTGTCATAATTCACAGTTAAAACATCCTAAAAGTAGGGAAACACTAAACCTATGAATGAAGCCTAGGTCCTCCAATCAAATATCTGCTCGCAAAGCGGGACTATTTTCAACACTTGGATCGGACCCACGTGGACCTGTGTTTTTAAAATGATATGAGATGTCTACGTTGTGAAACAATGGTTTTACTCAAGTCCAAGCATTACTGAGTTCAAAGTAGGTCGCGAGCGCACTACTTGAGCCGACATGCATCGCGTGCCCCATCCGGCTGTGTATGAGGGCTAATCGTATCACCGGCCTATCAATAAACAAACCTCATTTCTACTTACTTTGGTGCTTGTCCGCCAAAACGATGAGTGAACTCGATATATCCCTCCTTCGATAAAAACACATAACTTTGGCTTCCACATTTCCATTTGGAGTCTGCAAGGAAGATGTTGACAGACACTCTTAGTCAAAGTCAGCCATTGGATAAGCATTGAATAACAATAACCCAAATCACCCGCCGCAATCACCGGAATTTAACAGATTTACAACATTCTCAACACACGATCGCTTGAATTGACACGAAAACACAATCCACTTACCTTGTTGAGTTCCTCGATTCGTCTAATTTGGAACGGGGACGTGGACGATGTTTCAAAATATACATAATCTGCAAAGGAAACAAAAAAGGTCTTTGTGTGTGCTCGTCAATATACCGGTTTGTATGTACAAGCCACTGACGAAAAATAGTCCCTTGGGGTAATCGAGGTTCAAATGTGACGAACAAAAAGCAAATCAGACATAAAAAATATGGACAGATTAATTTTATCCACATTTTCTATATAGAAATTACATTAGATTATCGGAATTTACGGTAAAAAGTGGTTAACGGAGATTCTCAGTGAAGTTGAACCGAATCACACCTCGCATGCATACGCATGCACTGTACTCATGTGAATTAAAAACTCCGAAACAACCTAAAAGCTCAAAATGTACATTTATGAAATCAAACATATAGTCAGAATCTGCGTGGTATCGATCGGAAGGTACATTATGCATGATTACTATGTTGTGTCACGACAAAGGTGTCGAGGTATCATGCCGCGGGACGAGTGGGTCCGTCCATGCTCTTTCCATATTCCGAAATTATACGTACCTCCAACTCTGTACATATTTGCCGCCATTTTTCATGTGTATGGTGGTAATTTAAAGATAGTATCCTTATTCGTCCTATAAAGCACAATCATGCGAATACATGGGGTATAATATCACGAAGGTCCACTTCATTACCCCCCTGAAGCGACAGATCATGGAGTCGCCATTTCTCGGACTGCCTACTGTCTTCCTCCTCTTTTCACACGTGACGTCATTCGTCCTTCGGCAACACTCGGTTTTCACTCTAAAATACACTTGAGGTACGTCCATCACAGAACCTAGGCATGCAGGGTGTCAAACTTCACCACTTGACACCCTCTATAAGTCTAGATGTATGTAGTGGACAGAAACTATAACATATTCGAGAAAAACACATTTTTGTCATTTTCACCTTTATTGAGATTTTTTAGGCAAAATATGTACAAATATTTATATTCCATGTTCAAAAATGGTAAATTAAACATATAAATGTATATAGCGTTTATTCAGAACAACGTGTTTAAATTCAAATGAAAGCGTCGTTTAGGGTTTCTTTGTTCTTGTTAGAACCTTCCTGGACCCACATTTAGCATATTACTGTCTTTAGTGGTCACTCAAACAATCAAATTTCATCGACCATGGCAGCACTGGTCAAACAAATGATCAGTGATCTAAAAGTAGTTACCCCGGGATCATAGTACTCATACGCCGGTGAAGAAGGGTGGAAAAACTCAGTAACTTAGCAACTATGTGACGTCAGGGAAAAGGACACCTGTCTACATGCGCAAGAATATAGTTCCAGTGTGCGTGACAGTAGTTAACCCGGACCTATGTTGTGCATCCTGAGAGTGAAAGATCAACCACGCACGGGTCGCGGGGGTCAACTTCAAATATAGTAACAATTATCTTGCATTCACCTGGTCGTTATCTAACTATATCGTCCATCTATTACGAATATCAAATCTATTTGTAATTTCAACTTTCAAAATATAAAAAAATGTGATGGGATCTATATTTAGATATCTTGAGGAGAATGGCCTGGCTTGCTTTGCGGTTTAAACAATGTAAGAATTCCGAATTAACGGTGGTTTATATATCAAAGATGTTATTTCTATTCAAGCTGTTATCGTGCCGTTTGAGCTTCTGCTGGTTATGGGAGCTTCATTGTTACTTATGGTGCGGCGTGGTTATGTAAGAGGATATCCCCACAATTCATTAGCCTCGTGGTCTGATACTGATGATCAGTCAAAATGCGCTGTGGATTATTAGTTGTCCCGGCTTGTAGATTATGTTAATAATACACGAAAAAACTAATTTATTTCCCTCAAATTAAAACAAACTATAGCTACATTTTCTTATCATTAAATATTATAAGAAAAAAGCTGGTTCTTAATTCGGCTAAATTCTAAATAAATATAAGGCATATAATGTTGGTTTCAGTCAATCGCTATTAACATCTCATATACTTCTGTACATTAACATTTTATGCAGCTCTCAGATAAACAAATATAGACATTTAATATAAAATTGATAGAAATATATGAGAATATTTGATAACTGATATAAAGTAGAAAACACAACACTTAAGGTTCATCAGCTGTATGACAATATTCGTACATATAAAAGTTTATTCTACACATCTGGATCAAATCTTTACGACCGTAGCTATTAGGCTATGTAGTCGTATGTTGCTGTACCATTCAGCATTCTTATCTACTCATTCCTACATGTTTTCAGTTGGAATATAGACCCCCCAAATAACACTCAACCATTCTAATGGATTTCACCATGACTGGAAAAGAGACATTATAGATAACACGACTTATCGTAAGTTAAGAAAAAGATTCTATAACAAACATTCACAGCTTAGCATAATGTATCTATACCCCTATTGTGTGGGCGTTCTGGTGTGTGTGGTGTGTGTGGTAAGGAATTTTCGAGAGGATATATGCCAATGATACCAACCCCACATATATTTTAGACATGTACACACATACGAATGTAAAAGGCATTGTAAACTGCATTTGCTCTCTGTGTGTGTCGGGTGTGTGTGTGGTGTGTGTGTGTGGTGTGTGTGTGTGTGTGTGTGTGTGTGTGTGTGTGTGTGTGTGTGTGTGTGTGTGTGTGTGAGCCAGAAAGCTCAGTACATGTATTGGTACTGATTATACTACAATATACACATCTTCAGGAGAAAACGTCTTCAGGTCCTCTTCATATACACGTGTAAGCTCATTAGAAAAGACACTACAGACAAAATATAATATGCATGATCCAAGAGACAGGTCTATAGAAATCACTTCAGCTTATAGCTGGTATATTTTATACAATAGATGCACGGAGACACGTTCAGTTTACAACCAAATGTTCCTCGTGTTAGTGAGGAGGCTTATATGGATCTTCACTTTGTGTAACTTGATTACAATCACTTCAACAGGGATATCACATATAGATCTTGTTCTACCTACTGTTTTTTACAAGTTGTTGCATCTATACATCTATACTAGTATACATCGTATATACTTACGATAGTTGTAGCGGTTCCACTTCGTGAAATGGAGTGCAGATATCCCACTGTCATATATGCTTCAAGGCTTTGTTTCACACGCAATCGTAGACGTACAATATAGAACGTATAGCTATTCATAAGACTAAGACGCCTACGGGCGGTTGTTGATAACACTTTGAACAATATGAAAGATTCGGATATAACACTACAGAGTTTGTAGTTTATCATACCAGGCTTGGAATTGACACCAATCAGTTACACAGTAACATGTATTTATTACCGGAGAGGTGAGGTGAAATGGAGTTTAACGTCGCGTCGAAGATTATTGCACTTATATAGCGACGTGCATGTGTGTGGCTGCTTGTACTAGTCATGACTGATGCCGATGTATAGTGCTAGCCCACTGAGATACCATACGCAGTTTAACATGAATACCCCACTCAGACACAGTACACTGACTCCGAGCCGACCAGTCCTTGTTTTAGCCCCTTAATGCCGAGCGCCAGACAGGGTAACAACAAGTACAATCTTTTAACGTCTTAACGCGGCCGGGGATCGAACCCCGGACCCTCCGCTCTCCGAGCGGACGCTTTATACCACTAGACCACGGTGGCGGTCTATTACCGGAGACGACAATCATATCCCTTTCTGGAAGAGAGATTATAACATTTGTGCGCGTGGCATTCCTGTTAAATTAAACTGGTATCAGAAGATTTTAATACATTTTGCCAAGATCATCAGTATGATACAATTAATATTTATGTTAACCCCTTTAAATATATGTCAATACATATATATTTTAATACACTTTGCCAAGACTATCAGTATGATACAATTAATATTTATGCAATACATATGCAGATGTATAATCAACCGTAATGAAGAAGATAGAGTCGTCTCCATGGAGATGGGTAACTGTGTAGTTTAGTAGTTAAAGCGTTCGTTTGTCGCTACGAAGGCCTTGGTGCGATTCCTCATTACGTGTACAATGTTTGAACCCTTTGCAGATGTTGCCCGCCGTGATTTTACTGGAATAAAGCGGAGTAAATCCATACTCACTCACTCTACAAGGAGAACCGTGTCCCCTGTCCCTGTTCCGTCTCTACACAGTACTTAGTACCGCCAACTATGATGTCTGTATGACCTAAAAGATGATATATATTATCTATGTGTGTAGGGCTTACCAGTGAAACGTTTGGATACACGGATTCCGACCTACCAAGACTCACACACGTTTCGTAAAATCAGTACGACGAACAAACTTATGTCCGTTGTAATCCTTTATGTGTAGGTCCACTGGCTGGTCCGGGGTTGCTTTTTCTAGACAGCTGACATGTTAACTGCGCCCTCGGCAAGTCACTTTATGACTTGTGTCTTATGCACGAACACCCTGCATTAGTGGCGTGGCTGTTTTGAGGTTCACATATCCACGAGATACACATTGCTTCAGAAATAGAGACAGGAGAGATACATGTCAATAGAATCCATGCATTCCACCCTCTACATTGTGAGTACTTAGACACTGTAGACTATACAAACGCGTGTGGTATTGACGATACTACCTTTAACTTGCACATTTCCCCAACATTTCTCTTGAAACCGCAGGTTGATAGAAACAGTAACATGTCAAAGGGAGGTAACTCTTAATTCTTTATTTTTCTTGATTGAGAAGTCACCAATTCATTATAAAGAATACGTACAAAATGTTTGAAATATTAATTTAAACAAACAAACAAACGAAACATTGTTATTAAAACTCTATTTTTTACAGTAGGAAGGCACCAGAGACAGAGGAAAATACATATATCTCGGAGTTTTCACATAATTTTCTGAAAAATATTATTGGTAAAGAAACTGCTTCCTGTCTAGCGGGCATAAAGAAAATATTTTTGAAAATGCTGTCATTACGGTTGACTATTTGTGTTTTCAGTAAAATATATAATGTGTTGAATGGGTCTATATCATGCCATATCCCACGTTTATGATATGTAAATATATATGATACAGTTGAACCAGATTAAAAGTTGATTGCTCCCCAACGGTTGAAACCATGTCTCTACCGGTCACCACATATTGCCGTCCACAGAGACCCGCCGAGAGGGGTAGCTCCTTGGTTAAAGCGTTCGCTCGTCACGCCGAAGAGTGACAGAGTTGTGTTTAACGCCGCAATTAACAGTATTCCAGTTATATCACGGCGTGTCAGCTTAATGTGGGAGGAAATCCCCAAGCGATGCAGGTCTCAGACGTTTACCACTTCGGTGAAACCCACGAGCACGGGTATTGTGCTGACAAACCTAGAAACATAATCGGGGCGAACCGGGATTCGAACCCACAATCACAGGTTTCTGGCGACGGATACCCGTGGGGATTCAGGGTAAGAACAAGGATCCCCACTAATCGATGTTTGTCGTAAGAGGCGACTGAATGGATCTGGTTGTCAGACTAAGTGTATGTGTTGATTGCGTGTCATCGTATCCCAATTGTGTGGATCAATACTCATGATGTCAGTCACTGGATTGTATGGCCAAGTTTCGATTATTTACAGACCGCCGTCATATTATTGGAATATTGGTACGTGCGGCGTTAAACAACAAATAACAGCATTTAAGAGACGTTAGCCGGTTAAACAATCCGGTATTTATTTGCAGTTATCTGATTTATTGACGGATGGAGTATAGTTTATGTACATTGTACAGTTTCCATTAACATGGTGACTTATGTATTGTATATGGC